GGAGCAAGACAATTCTTATTATAAAAAGGGTATCGAACTTATTGAACATCGCTGGGAAAAGTGTATAGAGCTGAAAGGAGATTATGTTGAAAAATATAATATATTTTTTTCCAAAATTTTTGTGTTTTCTTTGTTGAGTCGGCTACTTTTAAAATACAACTTTTTTTAACTTCTTTATGCTTAATTCTAAAAAATAATTAGCGTTGTAATAAATTTAACATTCGATAAAATTCATATCGAGCAATGTGACAAAGGCGCGGCAGTTAACACGAGGTACTAAGCAATATGCAATTCAGTGGTATTGTCCTGAAAATTACAAAATGTTTCACATTAATAGTTGTTTACATTTTTTCCGTAGGACAAGTTTGTCGCGTGCACACGTGGTGTGCATCAGCTGTAGCGTTAGGTTATGCGCTGTTGTCACGTTGTGATGAAACCCCCAATATTAATACTCGCTGTATTTTCAAAACTGTTAATCTTACGCCCCTGTAATATACAACTTTTTTGTTCATTTATGATTACTCTATCTCATGCTGAAGTAATAATAAGGTTCTCCATAATATTTTGACTGTCCAGGTGTTTTAAATAACAATCAAATTTTCGGACTGCTTCCAAGAACAAATATCTTGAAAATTCATCAAAATATATCAATGTTTGAAGTACCACAATAGTGTTGTTTGTATTTGTGGAAATACAACAAACATTTTGCTACTACAAAAGTGAAAGTAACTTCTGCAAACATTACTACCACTTATGTGATGTTTAATTTGCTTTAAATTATATCAGGTTGTGTGTAAGAGCATAATCTACAGTATTTTTCGTTTCACGTAGTTGTTTACGTCAATCAGCAGAAATTTTAACACGATATGAGGAATTATGCGACTCGGCATTAAAGTATAATCGGTTTGTCCTCCTTTTCTTTGGCTATTAGGGTTGCCCCAGTCTCCAAGGGATAAGTCCCTTTTATCGAGGCGTAGAACAGAAAATCCTGGTGTTCGTCAAATATTCCATTTGCATTTAATCGATATTCCACTTTTCCCTTCGCGAAATTTCATTAGGTGCCTAATTAAATCACTGATCATCTCTTCCTGGATATAAAAAGCTGCGCAGCTAAAGGGACTGCACTTAAAGGGGTCTTAGATATTAATATTCACATCCGATTAACGATTTGGAGCTGAACGGGATTCGAATTAGATTAAAAATTGTGCGATTGTATTTTGAAAGATTTTTGGGAACATCCGAGGGGACATCGTTGTAACAAAGAAAACGAGGAAACAATGTATCTTGAACATACTTCCATCCTCTGAGATAAGGACTTAAATCAAAGCGACGTCTTTCTCAAAAATTAAACGTCGTTATTTATGAAGACATTAGGTAGATTATAAATTATTTATCGTTGTTTCTTGGACCGATGCAAACCGAATAGGAAGCCAGCCGCCGTCGCCGCATTTATAGTGGTTTTATGTTGCAGGGGCTCTCAGTTTTATGAGAAACAAATCCAATTAGCTCTTTAGTAGGTAAATATGTTTGTTACATTGTAACAGCGGGTGGCACATTCTGCTGTGCTCTAGCAAAGACGACCTTTGGATCGTTACACATAATTCATTACTCACAAGCGAAATATTCGATCTTAGACGGGCATGAATTACGGAAAGCGTGTTGATTCTCATTTGTTTTTACAAAAACTAAGTTGGGAAGTTAGTTAGTTAGCTTCCTAACGACATATGTAATAGAAAAGTCTTATACCAAAAAGTTCTATTTTTGCGTTTTTTTTTTAGTAAATTTAAATCTAATTGTGTGTGTCAGCACCTTCAAGTATATGGTTTCGCAATTCTTCCACCGTAGTAAGTGGACTATTGTAAACCAATTAATTGAAGTTACTTCAAAGAAAAAAGTCCATTGGAGTTAGATCGGGTGACCGAGGTGACCACGACACAGGACCAAAGCGTCCAATCCATCGCTGAGGAAACATTTCATTCAAAAGTTTCACTACTTTTCGAGTACTGTGTGGAGGAGCCCCATCTTGGATAAAACATGCGCGCCCGAACTTGTAGTGCGTCATCGTCCAATAATTCAGGCAACCAGTTCTCCAAAAAGTCAGCTTATGTTGATCCATTTAGTTGTCCTTCAAAGAAATAGGGACCCACAAGTACATCGCCTATTATGCCAGTCCAAACATTTACCGAGAACCGATGTTGAAAATGAGTTTCTCTAATCGCGTGAGGATTTTCATCGGCCCATATGTGCATATTATGAAAATTCACTTCATCACGGGTAAATGTCGCCTCATCTGTTACACAATCATAAGCAGGATTGACACAGTGCCGTTAAAACCATCTGCAAAATTGTATTCGTCGATCACAATACGGGGGTAAAATCTGTTGAACTGGTTGCAGATGATAGGAGAGCAACAGCTGGCGCCTTAAGATACGGTGTACGGTACGAGATGAAGTTCCTACTTGCTGTGCGAGTCCTCGAGTACTAATTGTGGGGTCTTCGTCAAGATTTTCCAACACTGCATCTTCAACATTAAGATTCACTTGCTGACCAGGTCCTTCTTCTCGAGGAATAACACTTCCCGTATCCCGCAGCCGTTGAACGCACTTTAGGACTGTACTTGCACATGGGGGGTGATCTTGTGGCCATCGTTCCCGGTACAACTTAGTCGCTGTGAGCGCATTTTCTCCGGCTGCACCATACACTAACACCATATCTACACGTTCGAAAATATTAAATGCATTGTTTTCTCGGTTCATTGTAAAACTAGTTTGTGCACAAACTAAAAAATTAAGCAAAGTAAGAAATAAGAATCTCGTTTTTAATGTATCGGCACGCTATTCTTATTTTTTACTTCTTTATAAAAATTACACTATCACTATCGTAGAATTACAAAATAAAACTTTTGTCTGGAATCTTTCACTTTTTAACACTGATGGGTCGATGGACGATGCTTAATATTTAATAATTAAGTGAATAATGAATTCAATACAAATACAAAATCAGTTAACTGCACAATTTTTTTGACAATATAACCTAACCTTCTATTAGTATTATTAGTATTTAGTAGACCAGGGTCGGTAATTTTTGAAACCAAAAAAAATTATAGTAGGATGAATCCCTTTGGAAAAGAAAGAGAATATAACAGAAATGAAAGGAAAAATAATTTACGGGCAATCTGAGGTCGGGAAGGGGAAGGGGGTGAGTTTTTAAGGGTAAAAAACGGTTCCCCTTGATTTCCGGAAAAACTACAAGTCTTATGGAAAAAAGTTAAATGGCAAAGTTGTAGGTAATAAAAAGATCTACAACTTTTGTATTTACACTTTTTTCACATAACCTCAAAATTTATGTGAAAAATTCAAATAACCAAGTTTTTGGTTTTTAATTTTTATCTTTTAAAAAAAAATTTTTTTTTCACGAAATTTGGTGAAAACTTACCTATTTATGTCCCAAACACGCTGTAATTTTTTTGATTTGAAATATTTATTTTTTCACCTTATTTTTACTTAATATCGAAAAAGCACCCTAATTTTCAATCGAAAATTCTCACGTCAAAATATCTGCTTTTTTAAAAACGTCGGTGGGCTTTTTCTTCGTTGAAATCTCTACTTTCTGATGGTGAAAAAAAAATATACATTACTATGGTAAGTTTTCTCAGGAAATGCAAAGAAACGAAAGAAGATTCTACAACTTTCTCAAAATATTGTAGATGTCTTATTAAATATTAACTTTATTAACTTATTTGGTTGTTAATTATAATAGTATATTTCGACTTGTAATTTTTTTGTTTATCAATGTAACATGGAATCTTACGTTTTTCGAGTAATTAAAGTGTAAATTTTAATAAATAGCTCAAAATTGTACATAATGATTAGAAAAAAATTTTCGGATTCTAGTTCGTTTCTTTGCATTTCCTGAGAAAACTTACCATAGTAATGTATATATTTTTTTACACCATCAGAAAGTAGAGATTTCAACGAAGAAAAAGCCCACCGACGTTTTTAAAAAAGCAGATATTTTGACGTGAGAATTTTCGATTGAAAATTAGGGTGCTTTTTCGATATTAAGTAAAAATAAGGTGAAAAAATAAATATTTCAAATCAAAAAAATTACAGCGTGTTTGGGACATAAATAGGTAAGTTTTCACCAAATTTCGTGAAAAAAAAATTTTTTTGTAAAAGATAAAAATAAAAAACCAAAAACTTGGTTATTTGAATTTTTCACATAAATTTTGAGGTTATGTGAAAAAAGTGTAAATACAAAAGTTGTAGATCTTTTTATTACCTACAACTTTGCCATTTAATTTTTTTCCATAAGACTTGTAGTTTTTCTGGAAATCAAGGGAAACCGTTTTTTACCCTTAAAAACTCACCCCCTACCCCTTCCCGACCTCAGATCGCCCGTAAATTATTTTTCCTTTCATTTCTGTTATATTCTCTTCCTTTTCCAATGGGTTTCATCCTACTATAATTTTTTTTCACTTTTTACCATTTTTGAATTAAGCACTGGTCTATAGATTATACCGACTTAAATTATAAGGTTGCATTTCGGGTAGCATAAAACATTTCCAAAGTTTTTAATAAATAACATAGGGTCGACCTTCATTTTCGTTGAATAATTGAAAAACGCGAAGATAGAACTTTTTCTTATAAGAGTTTTCTATTACATATATCGTCAGGAAGCTGTAGTTTAATTTTTATAGATTATACACGCCACACCCTGTATACTATACACACTTATACACACATGAAAACAGTCAATGTTACGACCACACAGAGCGCTACGGCTACGACAAGGACAAAACATCTACCACTTAGAAGCTGTTAGAAAGAGAACACGCGACGTCGTTAGAGCTAACGATATTCACCGACAGATGGCTGGGACGATCACACACACACCCACCACACCTCAGACTTACGATTTCGTGTACCGACACCTCCTGTCGTGCCTAAATGGACATGGACGAGAACCTGGCGCTGGAAAACGGGGTGATAGAGACGTACCTCTGGCAGCGGCACAGCAGCAGCCTGATGAAGGCCGCCCTGAAGGTCTTGTTGAACACTGTGTAGATGATGGGGTTGATGGTGGAGCTGACGTAGCCCAGCCACAGGCACACCACCACGACGTGCTGGGGCACGTGGCAGTCCGGGCAGGCAGCGAAGAGGATGTTGAGGATGAAGAAGGGCGACCAGCACAGAACGAAGGTGAAGAACACCAAGCCGAGGACTTTGGAAGCCTTCTGCTCGGTGGCCACGGAGTTGGCCGCCATGGTTTTTCGCTTCACGCGACCCGCCAGCAGTCTGGAAAAAAAATGGTAGTTAATATAGGACTGCGGAGGCATTGGAGAGTAATGCTAAGGTCACACGTTGCGCTGTGTTCATTATGTTTGCTAAGTGTATAAAAAATAGCTATTATCGTTTTAAATGCGTGTATAATACTCGCTTAATGTTTATAATGGTAGATAGGATAGGTTTTATGAAAAATATTTCATGTTTCACCTACTTCTTACTTATTATTGACTTAAAATATCTAAATAATTTTACCTACAAGACTACAAGTAACCCACAAATTGTAAAAGCTGTTAATATTCCTCCCTAGGTATTATAAAATTCACTTAATTATGAGCGATGTTCTGTGTGACCATTTCATTTAAAGCTAGGGTCACACGGAGGGCTATAATAGCTATGTTCGGTATGAATTTTAAAAATAGTTTAAGCGTTACATTATTTGAAAACTGATAGGACAAGACATTTTTGTATCAATATCGTATTCAGCGAAATTTAAAACTAAGGACAACTATTAGACCAGTGCTTAAGCCTTCAAAACTGGTAAAAAGTGAAAAAAAATTATAGTAGGATGAAACCCATTGGAAAAGGAAGAGAATATAACAGGAATGAAAGGAAAAATAATTTACGTCCGATCTGAGGTCGGGAAGGGGAAGGGGGTGAGTTTTTAAGGGTAAACAACGGTTTATCTTGATTTCCGGAAAAACTACAAGTCTTATGGAAAAAAGTTAAATGGCAAAGTTGTAGGTAATAAAAAGATCTACAACTTTTGTATTTACACTTTTTTCACATAACCTCAAAATTTATGTGAAAAATTCAAATAACCAAGTTTTTGGTTTTTTATTTTTATCTTTTACAAAAAAATTTTTTTTTCACGAAATTTGGTGAAAACTTACCTATTTATGTCCCAAACACGCTGTAATTTTTTTGATTTGAAATATTTATTTTTTCACCTTATTTTTACTTAATATCGAAAAAGCACCCTAATTTTCAATCGAAAATTCTCACGTCAAAATATCTGCTTTTTTAAAAACGTCGGTGGGCTTTTTCTTCGTTGAAATCTCTACTTTCTGATGGTGTAAAAAAAATATACATTACTATGGTAAGTTTTCTCAGGAAATGCAAAGAAACGAAAGAAGATTCTACAACTTTCTCAAAATATTGTAGATGTCTTATTAAATATTAACTTTATTAACTTATTTGGTTGTTAATTATAATAGTATATTTCGACTTGTAATTTTTTTGTTTATCAATGTAACATGGAATCTTACGTTTTTCGAGTAATTAAAGTGTAAATTTTAATAAATAGCTCAAAATTGTACATAATGATTAGAAAAAAATTTTCGGATTCTAGTTCGTTTCTTTGCATTTCCTGAGAAAACTTACCATAGTAATGTATATATTTTTTTACACCATCAGAAAGTAGAGATTTCAACGAAGAAAAAGCCCACCGACGTTTTTAAAAAAGCAGATATTTTGACGTGAGAATTTTCGATTGAAAATTAGGGTGCTTTTTCGATATTAAGTAAAAATAAGGTGAAAAAATAAATATTTCAAATCAAAAAAATTACAGCGTGTTTGGGACATAAATAGGTAAGTTTTCACCAAATTTCGTGAGAAAAAATTTTGTTTATGTAAATTAAAAACAAAAAACCAAAAACTTGGTTATTTGAATTTTTCACATAAATTTTGAGGTTATGTGAAAAAAGTCTTTTTACTACCTACAACTTTGCCATTTAACTTTTTTCCATAAGACTTGTAGATTTTTCGGAAATCAAGGGAAACCGTTTTTACCCTTAAAAACTCACCCCTTCCCGACCTCAGATCGCCCGTAAATTATTTTTCCTTTCATTTATGTTATATTGTCTTTCTTTTCCAATTGGTTTCATCCTACTATAATTTTTTTGGTTTCAAAAATTATCGACCTTGGTCTATATGTTCGCTATGATTTAAAAAAATAGTAAGTGCATATATGTTCATTATTTTGATAAGACATGTGACAAGATATTTTCACAATATCAATATTGTACGTATTCCGCGAAATTTAAAAGTAGGGTCACACAGCTATATTCGCTATGAATAAAAAATAGTGAATGCATATAATACGTACACTATTTTGATGAATATGATAGATATTTTTCAAATATCGATATCGTACGTATTCACCATGGTACCTATGTGGTCCTAATATTTATTATCACGTAGCTATCATAACTTTATGTGTAGGATGAGCATTAGTGTGACTTTTTCTTCGTTTGTATAAAATGTGTAATTTTATACAAACTTCAAACTAAAATTTCAACAATTTTGCATTTGTGGCTTGTCATTATTTCACACTAAGCCCTTTAATTGTCAATCAAATGAAATCAACAGAATTTCTAAAATATTCAGTGGCGGCGAAATTCTTGGATTTGGGATGGAATTTTTCAATTTATCTAATTATGTCACCAGTCCAAGTTTGACTAATATTAGCGTATTTGTGGTGCTTTGGAAAGACGTAAAACACCATGTAACTGGCAAATGAAGCAACTTTAGGCGAAGGTATAATAACCAAGCGTCATAGCGTCAAGATACACTCTGTGTTGCAGAAGTGTGAGAATCCTATATTTAAAAAAAAAATCTTGAAACTGTCGCTTTTATCGAATTTAGCTTGATCCGAGAATTAATTTGTCACACTTAAAATAAAAAATACGTGAAATACATAAAAAAACGTTCAGATCGGTCTTAATTTTTTCATGATTATCCGTCATACTTGAAAATAACCAGGTGTTATGACACTGGGCTGTCATTATTTAACAAGCCATAAATTGTTCTGTAAGTGTTACACGTATTCTGTAAAAAACGTTAAGTCAAAGAGTAGTCTCTAAATTAAGAATACCCTTGCTGGACAATTTTGTTAACGCCTCGTACATTTTACGTCGCACGTGCTGTGTCCGGGCCGTCATCAAAAGAGCATAATCCGGATTCCGACAAATCTGCCCGAGATTATCCCCCCTAACAAGACGTTCCTGACCACAGTTTAATCATCAACTTTCGCCATAAAGGCGGCCAATAACGGCCGTCCGCATTTCCCGAACTGATACCGGTATAGCGATGATGAAGCTCCGGCAACGAGGCGCAATTCCCATAAGTGGCTCCATTTGGAACATAAACGTCGGCGGAAGCCGGAATAAATCACACCCATTCCTAAATTTGGAGGGCCCAAATGAAATTGCACTCCGTGTAATGTCTTTATTACAATGTTTTAACCTACTTGAATTTAGAGGTTATGTACGAAGTACACCGAGAAGATTATAGGTACTAAAAATTTACACAACTGTAGCACTTTGCCTATAGTTTAAATAGAAAAATGACTAATGATAATAATTTGATGATTATATTTTGAAGAATTATTATAAAAATATTTTCCAACTTATTACATTTGTTGTTGTTGATTAATAGTGTATTAAACATGTTTAGAAAAGGAAAGTTTAATAAAACTGCCTTTCTTACGAGAAATGTTTTTTGATTTACGAGATCTTATTTTTTCTCATTTTGTGTTAGTAGGTAATTATTCGCAAATAATGATTGATATAAAAGCATTAAAAAGTTAGAAGTTAAATCAAAAAACGGTTTATCGCTAATAAAAAAAAGCTTGAACTCCAATCGAAAAAAGTTAAATAAGAAAGTGGTAGCTATTAAAAAAAACCTATCGATTCGTATTTTTAAATATATGATTGCTATATTACTTTTCGAGATATATCGAAAAAACCGTCAAAAATCATACTTTTTTTTGTTTTGCGCTGTATCTCTTGCAAATTAAGATTTTGAAACTAGCTACTTGCTGTAAATGTAGCCCTCGGCAAGCAAAAATGTGCCTTTTTTAAATTAAAAAATATTAAAAATTTTTCGAGTTATTTCGATTTTTCGAAAATCGGCCCTTCTTGTTCGACGAATATTCGTAGAGAAACGAATCAGGCCTCATTTTTTTCCTTAAAAGTTGTACTTTCATGCTAAAAAAAGTGATAACGATTTTATTCATTTCAAGTGTACAAAAAACATAACTTTGAAAAAAGTAAAAATTTTTTGGTCGAGTTTTTCTTGAATATCTTTTTCGATTTTCATTTCTCGATAATGTCGATTACAGGAATCGATTGCTGGCATTTTTACGCGAATTTAAAAAAAAACGTTGCTCTACGACCTTCTGGAGCCGATAATTTTTTTTTTCAAAAAATTCCACAGGCCGCTATTTAAGTGCTCTAACGTCCATTCTTACAGAGATTGAAGTTGAAGACTTATATTTTCAATAAAAAAAATACTGTGGTTCATTTTAGCCACTTAACGTAATGTAACGCTACTCGGCCGCTCAGAAAACTGAATTCGCGCGTTCAAAAGCGCTCTTACTTTCAAAATCTTCATTGTCTCGACTTCTGGACCGCGTACAAAAATCCTTTTGTACTTAATCTGGGGTAGCTCGACGATATAAACCAAAATATGACGTTTACGACGGCCTTAAAAGCATAATTACCTTTGGAAAACGTAATTTTCCTGTGGTCTAAAATTCTCTTATCTCTTGTTAACATTTTAATAATTATTTATAAGAAAAAATATCGCCATCATAAAACTTTCACTTTCTGAATTGAAGAGAAGAAGAATTGAAACATAAGAGTGATATATCTGCATAAGGTGAGAATATAAAAAATGTAATCGACGAATATTTTTATACCACGTAATTTTCTGTACGATAGTTAAATAAATATTTTGTAATACATTTATAATAAAAAGATATAATTACCATAAAACATTGTACTTACTTTATTTTATAAACAGTCATTAATTAATTATTGAAATGTTACCTATTGATTGGACTATTTGTGGGTCGAATTGATTCTAACAATAAGTTAAATATTAATTGTATAAGTAAGTCTTGCTACTGAAAACAATCGTTCTGAAGACATTTTAAATGCGCTCGAGACGCATCTTCGAGCTTACTTCCTTTAAAATCTTAGGAAAAATGCGGGAAGGTAGGTATATGA